CTCTCTATATATATATAATTTTATAGTTATATAATTATATATAATATCTTAGTCAATTTTCATTGACAAAAAGCTCTTTAAATGCAAGTTTAGAACGTATCGTTTCATTTTATAAATATAGAATAATTTTTATAAAGTTAGGTTAAAAGAATTTATGGGCCAAGCGCCGCGGAAAGGTATAGTGGGCCTTACTGGTAGGACTTGCTTTAGGAGGAAAATTTGACAAAAATTGTTGTACCTACAGAGTTCATCTAACTATACGCACACATGAAAAATTTAGTATTTAATTATTTATCTGTATATTGAAAATATATTTGAATATGGCAAAATTCCAGGATATTTCAAATCTGGGGATTNGGGTTTGGGGCTTTTGTGTTTTAAAGAATCTGGGAAAGTCTATTTTTAACAGTACAATCTGATTAAATATTTTTTTACAACTTTTAAAACTAACCAATCCCTTTACTATACCATCTCAACCGAATATGTCATTTTATTTTATTAAAATATCAAACCTCCTGTTTGAAAATTAAATGTTTTAAAGTATGAAATTAAAATCCGAATTATAAAATTTGATTTCTTCTCGATTTTCCTTGTTTGCTACTCATGTACTAGCTCTGTGTACTGTGTATCCCTGTATAAATATTACTACGAATTAGAAAGCAGTTTATTACTGTTGCTGTAAAGAACAGTTTAGATTCTACCATTCAATGGGACTTTTCAAAAGTTAACTGTGTTATATTAAAAAAGTGAGTTCGTGTAAAAAACAGTCAGTTCAAAGATTAATATACTACATTTTCTATTATCTTTTAACTTCTTTGTATTTTTTTCTAGATCTTACAGATTATGTTGGTGTTATTCCCTTACCCTTCACCTACCCTTTCCTTACCCTTCCCTTACCTTATTATTACATTATCCTGCCAATACCCTTCCCTTACTCTTCCCTTTTTATTACATTATCCTGCCCCCTACCTTTTCCCTTGTTATTTAAATTTGATAAAGATAATGTTGCTTCTTGACTGCAATACAAATATTTTTTCTCAATATTGACATTATGTTTGTAAGATACGTGATAATCTCACAAAATTAATAAATAATATATAATTAATTAATGATATAACCTAGGGTCTTGCTAATGTTCTATTAAACACACAGAAATATATCTAAGCGATAATTTACGAGGGATGTAAATAAAAATAATCTTTTTTTTTTTGATAATTGAACCTTAATTTCATTTTTTAGTTTGGTGATTGTTTTTTTAAATCATTGTTTCTTTCCGGTCATCGGTTTCTTTTAATGTTTCAATTAATGTTTCAATTTGGTCATTGTTTTTTTTGGGGGGTCATTGGTTTATTTAAATCATTGTTTATTTCGATCATTGTTATATTTCAATCGTTGTTTTATTTCAATCGTTGTTTTATTTCAATCATTGTTTTATTTCAATCATTGTTTTATTTCATAATTGTTTTATTTCAATATTGTTTTATTTTAATCATCGTTTTATTTTAATCATTGTTTTATTTCAATCATTGTTTCATTCCAGTGTTTGATTTCTTTTATCCATTGGTTATCCCTGTCATTGCTTCATTTCGGTCATTGTTTTATTTTGGTCATTGCGTCATTTCGGTCATTGTTTTTTTGGTCATTGTTTCATTTTGGTTTTTGTTGTATTTTGGTCATTCTTTAATTTTTGTCATTCTTTTATTTTGGTCATTGTTACATTTTGGTCATTGTTTCTTTTTGGTCATGCACATGATTGCTTTTTGGTCATTGTTGCACTTTGGTCATTGTTTCATTTTGGGCATTGTTTCTTTTTGGTCATGCACATGGTTGCTTTTTGGTCATTGTTGCATTTTGTCATTTTTTATTTAGGTCATTGTTAAATTTTAGTCATTGTTTCTTATTTGGTGATTGTTTCATTTTGGTGATTGTTTCATTTTGTTCATTGTTTCATTTTGGTCATTGTTTTATTTTGGTCATTGTTTAATTTTGGTCATTGTTTTATTTTGGTCATTGTTTTATTTTGGTCATTGGTGCAGTTTGGTCATTGATTCATTTTGGTCACTGTTTTATTTTGGTCATTTGTGCAGTTTGGCCATTGATTTATTTTGGTCATGGTTTCAGTTTGGTCAAAGCTTCATGATTCAACTCGATCATTGATTTAGTTTGGTCCTTGTACATTCACCTCGATCATTGATTTAGTTTGGTCCTTGTACATTCACCTCAATCATTGATTTAGTTTGGTCCTTGTACATTCACNTCGTTCATTCTGCAGCTTCCCCAGTCGTCTTCCCAGGTAATGGGGTGGATGGAGGCAGGTTTGCAGCCAATCCAACAGCGCTTGGATACAAAATCCGTGCTCTTTGCTCACTCTCTCACAGCAGGGAAGAAGGATCCGATTATCAAGGCAGTAGTAGATGCCACTCTAGCGGATCTGACAGACCCTTGGACTAAAAGAGTGCAAGCCATCCTAGAAGAGGCTGGAATAGATAATCTAGTCAACATATCGAAGAGAATGCTTAAGAGACGGATGAGAGAGCACCATGTTTCACAGCTCAGACAGGCGAAATCGGACCATTCATCGTTGCGATGGCTGACTGAGCCAAAAGAATGGTTCAAACTGCAGGTTCACATAAATGACTCAAAGCAGTGCGCAGTTCTGAACCAGGTAAGAGCAGGTGATGCAGGTCTGGGAAATCGACGTCCCAATCACCTGGGCCTTACGTACAAGGAATGTCCATGGTGCTCAGCAATTGGTATCAGAGTACTGCTGAATGAGCTGCATGTCATTCTTGATTGTCCAGGTTCAGGACATGCAAGGCGGGCAACAGGAATTGATGTTTTTCTGAAGGTCCGGCTTCCTTTGATGACAGAACATGCTATCATGATAGAATTCCTGGGGGGGGATGGTGCGAACGTTGAAACAATGATGCTAAGAGGAGATTGGACCTTGACAGTCCTTGAAGAGTGGAGGTTAGCAATCGCACAGCTTTGACCAGGTAAAATCGGGTGTAGCTAGTGATAGGCTGTTGCAGGGTACGCATCGTGACTTTGATCACGCCTTTCCTCCAGGTTGTACTCCTCCTCGTAGTAGGTGGCCGGGTTGGTTCAGGATTTTTCTTACCGGAAGGGGTCGGATAATCCTGTAGGCGGTCTGGGTTGCCCAAGATGGGGCTTCTTTCAGATCTCATCTCACATAATCACATAATCACATAAACTTATTAATATTCAGGGAATTATATTTTCTACAAACTGAAAATAGCTTGGGTTTTTTTTTGAATAAGTTAAATAGAAGGTAAATGCGAAAAGCTTGAAAAAATTAAGTTGAACAGGTTTTTAACTGATTTTTCATTTAAACTTGGCCACGTCTAATTCACAACGGAACCCTTATAGTGTTTAATTCCGACAATTTACTTCAGTGTTTCTGTAGCAAAAAGAGAAACTAAGATTTAAAAGATCAATTTTAAAGAGTTTATGAATGATCTAAATTTTAAAAATTTGTGTTAAAAGTTTTTATATTTTCGTAAAATTTTGAAAATGTGCGAACAAAAAATATGAAATCCGCAAACTTTTTTTGCTTTTGTTTTATACTTTACAAAGAGAAGATGCTCACAGATAAAGCCACAGTTAAAATTTGAAATAGAAGATGGGCGCGAAGCGCTCTATAAGCCTAGCAAACTTAAAATTTAGAATTATATAATGTTGTCCTTTCTTTTACAACCATATCCGGCCTCCAGATAATTCTCAAATTCGTCGAACCGTCTAATACAAAATTCACATTAAATTTTAATTCATTTATTCTTTCTTTTTATTAAACAAATTAAATATACTATTAACCCATGAAATATTTTTTTTAAAATATTAAGTAGTAGTATGGTTCAGATAATTTAAAGTCGAAATAAAATGTTCAAATATATTAAATTGCCAGAACAAGTTTTGACTTTTATTGAGAATTATGAAAAAATATTCGGATAGTGCAAAAAATGCTTGAAAAGTTATTCAAAACTGGAACTTAAGAAAATGAGCGGAATAAGATGTGTCACATAAAACACCTGTCCATATCACATTGATTATTGATTAAATGTATTAAGAAAGAAAACGTTGACAACTCAAATAACCACCAGAGATGAATTTAAAGTTGACAAAAACCAGTTTTTCCAAGTTAAACAAGAAAACAATCGAAAATATTATTTATTACATCGATTGACATTTAAATATCTGTATTATAAAGCTCTTTGCTCATATATATATATAATAAGCTGGCCTAACCCCTGGACCAATCTGGCTAAAAATTTTTGAGGAAACCCATAGTTACCTAGGGGCAACATAAGCTAAAAAAAAGAGATTTTTTTTTCAAAAAAAAAATTCTCCATGGCTTTGCATACTCATGGTATCATGATGGAAGAAGGGGGTACTTCAGCATGTTTTTTTCTTCAGTTTTGAAACCTGTTTTTGTTTAGAGATGCTAGAGAATGGAGAACTGTGATGGATTATCTGCCAACAACTACAACTATAATAGCTTACCGACAACCCCAGCTGTAGAAATCAAATCCAGCTTTCAGGTAATTAATCAATCAATCAATCAATATTTACCAACAACCCCAGCTGTAGAAATTAAATCCAGCTTTCAGATAATCATCAATCAATCAATCAATATTTCAATCTATTATTATTTCGATAAATCAATTTTCCAATCAATTAATATTTTTATTAATATTGCAATGAATCAATAGTTACAAAAGTTACAATGGTTAGAATAGTTAAAATAATTACAATAGTTAAAATAGGTACAATAGTTACAATAATTACAAAAGTTACAATAATTACAATAGTTACAGTAGCTACAATAATTACAATAATTACTAAAAGTTAAATAAGTTACAAAAGTTACAATAGTTATACAAGTTACAATATTCACAACAGATGCAATGGTTACAATAGTTAAGGAAGTTACAATAGTTACAATGGTAAAATTTGATATTATAGATATAATATTTTCCAACATAGCCCAACATATGTCCAAATCTAACTTATCAAACACAGTCGAAATTTTCTATCAACCATCAAAGACAATGAGGCATAGATTAAAATAAAAACCTCTAAAGTAGCTTAAAATAAACAATTATAGGTAACTTAAGACTTATTCTTTCTCTGAAGTGCCATCTGAATTTTTCTATTTGTTTTATAGAATCATGCAATTTTATACTTGTTATCATTATATTATCATTTCTAATTTGTTTAGTAAGTTTTTATTAAATTTTTTTTTATCTATTTACCTTTTCAATTATTTATTTACTAATAATAAATCTATTTATCTAAACTATGTATTATTATACATAATTATCTTATGATCTACTTTTCTAACTATCTTCTTGATCTTATTTGTCTATTTTACCACCTATTCTGTCTTTCTATCTCTCAATCTATCTCTTTATAACTCGTGACACAAATCCTTGAAAAGGAATGCAGGATGACTCTCAAAGCTAGACTTAACAAAATATGTTATTTAGAATATGAACCTAAACATCTTACGAAGTTACATACAGTGGTGTTCTAAATAAGCCGGAATAATATGAATTGATTGATAACTTCAAAGTCGTCTTGGACCCCTTAGAAATAGTTTGCGGCAATCAATATAGGTAACCTGTTATAGCCATTTTTTATGAGACAAAAATCAAATAATAGCCCTAGTCATGACGTTTCCAAATTGTGGTCTGCTCTGCAATTTTTTTGCTTTAATAATTACCAGAGATATGATTGATTTTATTTAATAAATTGAATTTTAAACCAAATGCAAAAAAATGACTACATTTTGGAAAAGGCAGGATTATGGCTATTTTGTAATTATTGTTTCATTAAAAAATATTGCTAAAATCGAGTGTCTTATGTTAAGGTTAAAGACGACTTGGAAGATATCAATCAATTCATATTATTCCGGCTTATTTAGAACATCACTGTGTTATGAACAGACCAACAATCAAATCAAGACAACTTTGAAAGTTTTTCATCAAATTTTTAGACAGTCTTGACTTTAAATCGTCGCAATGGCTTGTGCTTTGGTTTTACCCAAGGAGTATGAAATAAAAGGGAGATATAACTGACGTGGACCGCTCTACCATATGATTATACATACTTTGCAGAAGGTACTTCATTTATACAAGAAATATTTGTCTGATGTACAATTACCGCGTATACAATAACCTATTCTGAATGTTTCTTATACAAATGGAGTACCGTCTGCAAAGCATGGAGGAGCACCTCGTCACTAATACTTTTTGTAGCCCTATGCATATACATTTTTACACTGTCTTGTTTCTAACTAAAGTGTTTAAATGGAGTACTTGGCTAAATACTGCTAGAGGTGAGGTCGTGCACATCTTGGTTAGCAGTGTTAAGTGGATAAAACTGTTGAATTCCTAGATTATTTTATAAGAGATTCAAAAAGGTTTAATAATATTAAAAAAAAAATCCTGAAGTCCATAATTAAATTTGATAAGAATATATCTTTCAAATGTTTGTGTAGTGTTTACTGTTTATATATTAGAAACTGGATTGGTAGAAAGCACGTTCTTACATTCCTTAAGATATGCATTAAGTGAGTGCATAGTAACCACTTAGGTGTATTTTATATGTCACATTTGACTTGTTAAAATCCATCTTGCGCTGGGTAGTTATTTAAAGGAATTTGGAGTTTTGGAATTTTGTTTAGATTCAGCTTATTGAATATGCAGTGAATGCAAAGAAGAAGAGTGTGCAGTCAATGTACAGAGAATGTGCAGATAGTGTACGGAGAGTGTGCAGAGAATGTGCAGAGAGTGTGCAGAGAGTGTGCAGAGAGTGTGCAAAGAATGTACAGAGAGTGTACAGAGAGTGTGCAGAGAATGTGCAGATGTGCAGAGAGTGTGCAGAGAGTGTGCAGAGAGTGTGCAGAGAGAGTGCAGAGAGTGTGCAGAGAGTGTGCAGATGTGCAGAGATTCTGCAGAGAGTGTGCAGAGAGTGTGCAGGGTGTGTGCAGAGAATGTGTAGAGAGAGTGTGCATAGTGAGTGTGTAAGTGTAAATAGAATATATCTAATGGATTTAAACTTTTACTGATGTGAAATATATGAGGTAGAAATAAATTTTGACATTGATATTTCTAATTTGTAATATCGATATCCAATTGAATCCATTAGTAAGCACTTGGTAAATTATTCTGGAGGGGGGTGTATAAAGTAATTGAATCTAGAAATAGATTATCCAAGTCCCCTGGGTATTTTGTAAATATATCAGTCCTCTGCAATGCATCACAGCAAATATTTAGAATTCAGTTTCCTCCATTATTTGGGTTTCACAGTTTAGATAAAATAGACCAATTCTGTACATTGTAGTCCAGTGTACTGCTTACTGGTAATTCTGTCCTTCTAGTAGGTTTAGTAGCCAGGCTGTATGCTGCATATTATTTGTTATTTCTTAGTACAGTGAAACATAATGAAATTGATAAAAATTATCTGGTGGATTATCCCGATAAAGATGTGACTATTATCATGTTCCGTTTTATAAGTTTTAGGATAAATGTAATCTATACATTCTGTGGACTTTGTACAGTCTACCTTGTGCAGTGTACTGTGATGTTCCTCGGACTTTTTCTTAAAATTTTGCTATTTTTTTTTTAGGATTGTGAAGAAACATTTTTGGACGAAGAGGGTTGGATCGAAGAAGCCAAGGGAGTTATCAGGGACATAGAGAAATATGTACAGGTGAGATATGGAACATAGAGAAATATGTTCAAGTGAGATATGGAACATAGAGATATATGTACAGGTGAGATACAGGCCATAGAGAAATATCAGGTGAGATACGGGACATAGAGAAATATGTAAAGAGCTGAAACTTTAGAATGGTGGATGTAGAAATCAATGCTTGATCTCCTCTTTTTCTTAATCTCAAGATTTAATATAGCTTGTTCTCCTCTTGTTATTAATCTCCAGATTAATTAATCGATCTGGATTAAGGCTATCCCATTTAAAAGTTCCCAGCTCAGGTGAGATACGGGACATAGAGAAATATTTGCAGGTGAGATACGGTACATAGAGAAATATGTTCAGGTGAGATACGGGACATAGATAAATATATTCAGGTGAGATACGGTACATAGAGAAATATGTTCAGGTGAGATACGGTACATAGATAAATATGTTCAGCTGAGATACGGGACATAGAGAAATATGTACGGGTGAGATACGGTTCATGAGACATTTGTATAGGTAAAATACGGGACATAGAGAAATATGTACAGCTGAGATACGGTACAGGAGAAATATGTACAGCTGAGATATGGTAATTAAGAAATATGTACAGGTGAGATACGGTAAATAAAGAAATATGTACAGGTGAGATACGGTACATTGAGAAATATGTACATGTGAGATACGGGACATAGAGAAATATGTACAGGTAAGATACGGTTCATGAGACATTTGTATAGGTAAAATACCGGACATAGAGAAATATGTACAGCTGAGATACGGTACAGGAGAAATATGTACAGGTGAGATATGGTAAATAAGAAATATGTACAGGTGAGATACGGTAAATAAAGAAATATGTACAGGTGAGATACGGTACATAAAGAAATATGTACAGGTGAGATACGGTACATTGAGAAATATGTACAGGTGAGATACGGGACATAGAGAAATATGTACAGGTAAGATACGGTTCATGAGACATTTGTATAGGTAAAATACGGGACATAGAGAAATATGTACAGCTGAGATACGGTACAGGAGAAATATGTACAGGTGAGATATGGTAAATGAGAAATATGTACAGGTGCGATACCGTACATTCATGCACAGAAATCAACCATATTTTTTTAGCACAGAAATACGTGCCATACTGTGTTTAAAAAATGAAATCACTGATCCTTTAACACAAAAGTCATCTTTTTTTGTTAAGACAGCTATTAGCCACCTTGTTTTAGCTCGGAAATCAGGAGTTTTAGTTAAACTAGCAATCAGTCACCTTGTTTTATATGCTTTATCTTGATTTATTTTATAAATCAGCCATATTGGTTTCGCTTAGAAATCAGCCATCTTGGTTTAGTTTAGAAATCAGCCATCTTGGTTTAGTTTAGAAATCAGCCATCTTGGTTTAGCTTAGAAATCAGCCATCTTGGTTTAACTGAAAAATCAGCCATCTTGGTTTAGCTTAGAAATCAGCCATCTTGGTTTAACTTAAAAATCAGCCATCTTGGTTTAGCTTAGAAATCAGCCATCTTGGTTTAGTTTAGAAATCAGCCATCTTGATTTAGCTTAGAAATCAGCCATCTTGATTTATTTTATAAATCAGCCATATTGGTTTAAGTTAGAAATCTACCATCTTGGTTAAGTTTAGAAATCAGGCATCTTGGTTTAGCTTAGAAATCAGCCACATTGGTTTAGCTTAGAAATCAGGATCTTGGTTTAGCTTAGAAATCAGTCATGTTGGTTTAACTTAGAAATCAGGCATCTTGGTTTATTTTAGAAATCAGGCATCTTGGTTTAACTTAGAAATCAGGCATCTTGGTTTAGTTTAGAAATCAGGCATCTTGGTTTAGCTTAGAAATCAGCCACATTGGTTTAGCTTAGAAATCAGGATCTTGGTTTAGCTTAGAAATCAGCCATCTTGGTTTAGCTTAGAAATCAGCCATCTTGGTTTAGTTTAGAAATCAGCCATCTTGGTTTAGCTTAGAAATCAGCCATCTTGATTTATTTTATAAATCAGCCATATTGGTTTAACTTAGAAATCTACCATCTTGGTTAAGTTTAGAAATCAGCCACATTGGTTTAGCTTAGAAATCAGGATCTTAGTTTAGCTTAGAAATCAGTCATATTGGTTTAACTTAGAAATCAGGCATCTTGGTTTATTTTAGAAATCAGGCATCTTGGTTTATTTTAGAAATCAGGCATCTTGGTTTAACTTAGAAATCAGTTATCTTGGTATAGCTTATAAATCAGCCATTTTGGTTTTAATTAAAAATTAGATATCTATCCCCTCTAGTTTTAGCACAAAATCTATATTCTAAATTGGACCAAGGAACTAGCTGTATTTTGTCATTTTGGAAATCGCAGAAATCAGCCATCACTTTTAATCATAAAAGTTCACTATTTTTGTTTAAATTATAATTTTTTTTAGTTTGTTTGCGTATCAAATGTTCTAGCGAGTTCTAGAAGTAACATTTTCATCAATCTTACAACCAGGTTAGTTTACAAATACAGAGGGGTGTTTATTTTTTTGAAAATCCCCTCTACTTAAACATCATATAACTGGTCCTAAATATGCAAGAGGCTCTGAGGTTTTAATGCCAAATACAGGATAAAAAAAAAATTAAATTTCGGGGTGAAAAAGTAATTAATATAAAGGTTCTAAAGCTTTCATGTTGTGGTTCCCTCCCTCCCCCCCCTCCCTTACCTAGCTTTAAAAATTACTTCCCCACCATCTTGAATTTTGGCTGATTGTTCAGCCAGGTCAGGGCTGGGCGCTACAGTTAGGACATTCGGGACATTATGCAACTTAGAAGTTATCACTTTAAAAATGTCAAATTTAAATTAAATTTAAATAAAAAAAAAAGATTGGTCTGTGATTACTGACGGGCAATAACAAAATTCATTTTTGAAAAACTAAGAATTTTTTACCTTTAAAAAGTTCCACAAATATCTGAGAGGCTTAAACAACTTCAAAATTGTTTTTTTTTTCTAAACATTTATTTATCTTACCCTACGCCGACTTTCAACACTAATAAAAGATATACAAAAACGTTGATTATTGTGGTTAATTTATATAATTTCCCTTTGGGTTTTGCATACCGCACCGCACAGTTTTACAAAAACAAACTTTTTCAGAATACAGGTTTGAAATGTTTCACAGATTTTTGTTGTACCTTTTATAAGTTCAAAAACCTTTAAAAGGTTCGACAAAACTGTTTTTCTATTGCATTTTATTGTCTGTAATATGCTTTATGATTCAGAATTTAACCTGTTTTTAGAAAACTAATTTACCAAGGTGTATTTAATCAGAGAACTTGATAAAGTTAAACTAATTAGATTAATCCTTCTTCTATTTAGAGAAACTACAGAGTACACGATAGAACTCACACAGCAGGGGTTCAAGGTTAGCATTCTTTAATTCTTAGTAATTGTTTTAACAACTTGAATAAATTACTGGAATATATGTTAGTGTAATTTCAAGTGCAAATAGGACCAATGTGTGGTTCACAATGATACCCTTAAAAGCTATGTCTGATCAAGTATCAATGTTATTATTTTTAAAAACTGATAAACTTCAATCGTTTTTTCTATACAAAAGTGACTTGCGCATTTCTACTGTTGAAAAACATTATTAGAATTAAACAATTTAATCCCCCAGAAAACAGACAATATATTCCGCAGTATTGATCAGATAAATGTTTCAAGGGTATCGTTGTAAATCGGACATTGCCATCTTTGCATGGAGGATTACTTGAACTTACGCTTACAGTACCTTTAACATCAGAGTACAACACTCTAGGTTTTAACACTATGTCATTTTTGCCATTATATATTTAGTTGAATACACCAACATCTTCAAATGTCTAAATATCTAAGCTTGTTCGTTATAAATTATAGCTGAAAATTTCCGTAAAATAATGAATTCAGGGTTAAATCAAATTTTATCTTATCCTCATATATTACATCATAAAAATGGGTTAAATATATGGGTTGATTAAGCCAGGAGCGGCATTTAAGCTGAAACTTAACATTTAAGTTGTAATTTTTCGTTCTATAGTTTTGGACTCAGAGCTGAAAACTTTAGAATTGTGTATATCGAGATCAACGCGCTTGATCTTATTAATCTCAAGATTAATTTAATCTTAAGTTTGTGTCAACTAAAGTATATATATAACTCAACCAATCCAGTGGGGTTTGGAGAATCCAGAACAGCCAATCAGAGAAACCGAGGAATTTGAAATTTTGCGCGCCATCTAATAAGTAAACTCTTATCGGTCGGAAACGGGCAGCGAAAGTGAAAGAAAGTAAAAGAGCGGATTAAGATTGAAATTAAATGTGTCCACATTGGATATTTAGATTAAGCGATCGAGTTTGAAGGTTTCAATTCTTAAAGTTTCAGCTCAGATTATGTATTATATCATATCTGTTCGGTTCCATAGTCGGTTCCATTATAACACGGTTCAGGATAAAAATTTTCCAATATTGTTGGCTTCCTATTGTTTAAAAATGCTTATTCTTTCACTGGGAGTGTAGAATTTTTATTCGTTAATGCTCAGATTGTGTAAGATGGAAATTATTACACGGTCAGAGCGTGTAAGAATGTATATTCCCAAGCATTAAAGAATAGAAATTATTATACTAGTTAAAGAATATTCATTCTTACACGCTCCTTATATTAATCTTTTCAACATAGATTAATACTGATATTAACTTAATTATTTTCTACGAACAATTCATCTTTTTCTTTTCTTTTAGAACATGCAAACTTACCTTTTTTATATTTAAAAACATCATGCAAACTTACCTTTTTTATATTTAAAAACATCATGCAAACTTACCTTTTCTGTATTAAAACATGCAAAGTTACCTTTTTTATTTAAAAACATCATGCTCACTTACCTTTTTTATATTAAAACGTGCAAACTTACTTTTTTTATATTTAAAAACATCATGCAAACTTACCTTTTTTATATTTAAAAACATCATGCAAACTTACCTTTTTTATATTTAAAAACATCATGCTCACTTACCTTTTTTATATTTAAAAACAACATGCTCACTTACCTTTTCTATATTAAAACATGCAAACTTACCTTTTTTATATTTAAAAACATCATGCTCACTTACTTATATATTAAAACATGCAAACTTACCTTTTCATGCTCACTTACCTTTTCATTTTTAGAAGTACTGATATACCTTAATTCAGAAATTTCCATTCAAATCTTTACCTAGCTTAGTCCTGACAGAAAAGTGGAAGGGGGACCCCCCCCTTCCCACTCACCCTGTTTAAAATTAACATAACTCATGAAGAATGATTGAGAGGACGTTAAAATTTTCTGACCTTCCCTTAAAAAATTATGGACAATGCTTTAAGCATTTTCATCAAACTGTCCGACTGCCTACTTTAATAAAGAAATAGTTTTTTTTATTGCAAACCAAGTTTTGTAAGATTTTGCAAATCTCTGCATATTTGTAATAGAAACGGTCTGAGCTTTTCCAAAATGGAAAGGTTATTATGTTTTTCACAATTTCAATAAACTGCTTTTTCACTTTATAACTGGATGCAGACCAAAAAGAGCTTTTCCAAAATTCCACATTCAGTTAAAATATTTGGACAAAATAGACAGAATTAGGAGTTAATGGGGGTCGATTTGCCCCCCACCCTACAGCTAAAACTGGTTTTGAAGTGCCTCAGCAGTTACCATATTTATCACAGTTCGAGTTGAAGTGGTACCACAATCAAAAACATTGACTGTAAGGTTATGAAAACAAGACATTGAAATATTAGTGTCACAAACTTTATGTGGGGTCTTAGCTCTCCATAGCAATGAAAACAAACTTATGAATCTTGATTCATGAATAAAAGAAAAAGATCTTCATCATTTCATTTCTTGAACTAGCTCTTGCTAATGCTAGATAACTTGCTTTTCTCTCTTCTTTTTGGAAGATTAATATCCAGCAAATGATATCTTCTTTAAATGATTTCACGCTTTTGTTCAGTAGGTGAAGACAACCCACTACTATTTTCGATTTTCTCTCCATCTAAAAAAACTCAGGGCACATTCAACATACTAAATCTAAATATAGCATAAACTTAAAAAAAAAATCATATTCATTTTAAATTAGTAAACAAACTAAGGAAACAATCACACCACATGCAAATAAAGAACCAATTTTTACTTAAAGAAGGGCTTTTAACATTTTGACATTCAACATGCTAAATCTAAATATAGCGTCAACTTAAAAAAAAAACAATCATATTCATTTTAAATTAGTAAACAAACAAACTAACTAAGGAAACAATCACACCACATGCATTATTTACAAAAAAAGAACCAATTTTTTACCATTAAACATTAGAAAAATAAAAAAGTAATAGTCAGGACAAGAGCATAGCTGAAATATAAAAACTTATTTGCAACCCTTCATGATGTCAATTGTTTCAACTTGATATAGTCGTATTTCACACGAATTGAAAAAAATATAATTTCTTGGGTATTATTTGCTCATGGAACCACACAAATATGATATAATATTAATCTTATGAGGATAAAAATGTAATAATGGAATTCTCAAACGAGATAATCTTGATGTATTCTTGTCTAAGGCCGCAGTTTTCATCACAACATTTTTTTCCTCATAAGTTTATCGTTTTCTAGGTAGTTGGATCCGGACACGATACCAACAATTTAACAGAAGAAATTATCTATGAAACTCCATACTCTCTTCTAGACACCATCAGTCCTGCATACAGGTTCGAAGTTTTAAAAAATTATATTTTTCGAAACATTTAATTATTAGGATTTATTAGATATAAATCTATTTTTACTTAACAAAAAAATCTGATTATAATTATTATTAAAACAGATAAAGGAATTGAGTTTTTGCCACAAACTTAAATTTTCTAATCCCTATATCTTTGAAACCAGATGGTGTAAACCTATGTTATTTCAAACTTAAACTATTTGGTCTAATATAATTCATAGTTTGAAATATCAAAGGTCTACGACATCGGGTTGCTAAGATATAAGAGGGAAACAGTTAAGAGTTTGTGGCTAAAACTCATTTCCTTTTATATCCAATTATCAGATGTCTAGCTAAAATAAAGTTTAAATCGAAGTATGATTTTAAGAAGTTAAGACCTAAATTTTTGTTATGTCTGATACATAACTCAAGTTTTTAAAAATTCATAGATGTCCAATGTCAATTAAGTTCAGAAAGATACATTTTTTTCATCTAAGGGAGTGTCTGGCTAGACATGGTAGTTGAACTGAGAATACATTATTGTAGACAAATTGTTTAGGATTAAATTGAGACTTTTTACTTATCAGACGTTTTAACGGTGCATATATGTTCACCAAGAGCGCAAATCCAATCTTTAAAATTCCCATTGATTGTCCTAAAACTCCCATCGATTTTCCATTTTGGGGGTATGATTAAAAGAAACGGGTTTTAAATTTTATTTGATAACTACGAATAAGAATTTAACATAATTTCTACAGTCAACTAATTAAGTTTTTAGGAACATACTTCTCAGTAAAGATTTGAAATAAATAAATGTTAGAATCAATTATTGTTCGCAGATTTCTTAAAATTCTTCAAATGTCGTCTTTTCAATAAAAATTCCAAGAAACCTACAGAAAATGTTTGTGAACAAAGAGACATTACAGAAACCAATAACTGAATAAGATTTTTTTTGTTTGATGATAAGAGTTAATTTTTTTCTTTTCTCAACCTGTTCATAAACAACTAATTTGTTTACTACATTTTCGTGGTCATCATTGAATATTTTTTTTAAACCCGATTCTCAAATCCATCCCTTCAATATGGACAATCTAGTCTTATAGAAAATTCTCTATGGAATTAATCTATTTAGACAATTACGAAGGAAATGATATATGACATGATAAATTCAAGAAATATTTTTTTAGCTATATATACTTTTTTGCGATCTATACGGGCCATATACGACCACTTCCCAATGTGAAAACTGACACCATAGAGAACAATATTAGCCTGAGAGTTAATTGTGAGACAATATTTCTATATTTTGTTGCAAAATGGGGCACCCTAAATTGTCTAACCATGGACACTCCCTTTAAAACAACTTTAAATATAAGAAACGTATGCACAAACAAAAGCAGGTTTTTTAATATTTTTCTTCTATCGACTCCAATTGAACTAACTAATAAGCTAGCAGAAAAAAATACTCTTAATGCTCAATAAATAAAATTTCTAAGAACTAGGTTAAAAATATTATGAGAAAAAAGTGTTTATTTGCTAACTCTAAATCAGGTTTTTAAATAAACAAATGTCACATAATAGTTTTAATATATTCCAGTCCTCGGAATATTATTATTTAAATTTGTCAGATTATTACCATATCCTAAATCTATTTTGATCAGCCGAGTTTGGACCCGTTTAAAATATACAGGGTCTCCCATAAAGAATGAGACTTCAGAGACGATTTTACAGAATGTATACTGTCTAGTTACTTATATTTATGATACTATGCGACTGTAAACTAGAGGAGCTACGAGGTCACAAAGTTGTACCTGTTATGTTGCATAGATTTGACCTATTCCGTCTGTCTATAGGAGTGTGGAATACAATCAATGTTTTCTAGGTTTTTGTTTTTTTAAGGCAAGCGTTTGGAGATCATCTGACCGATCAGCTGCTTAAACTTCAAGCAATAAGGTAATACAGGGACAGTGCACTTAATTTCCATTCTTGAAAGGGACTGTTCTGATCCGTTCCGTTCGAGGTGAATTCTTGATCGAGAACGTTCGTTAACCATGGACAATCGTTAACGATAAAGAACGTTAACGATTTTGATTGTTTCTCTAAACCTTCCTTGCTACCATTAAGTTAACGATCTATTTTTTTAATGAGCTGGCTTTGAAAACTTGTACTGAAGAAATGTATCCCACTCCTCTGTCTCAACTCTAATGACAAAAGTATATTTACCTATAGTAGATAAAAATTCAGATTTATAATGAGTTCCTGATAGATCGATACCAGACCGTACTTTTTAATCAATTACCGTTCCTTCAACCTTCGAGTTAATTTATAGATCGTTCCAAATTTTTCAGAACGCGTTCTATGTGTTCCTTTTTTTAAACGATGGCGTCATTGTTGATAATTCTTTTCGTTCCCGTGAAAAAAAACTATCGTTCCCAGGAACGCCGCCCAGCTCTATGACTCTACCTTAGTTTATGATTCAAAAGTTTTAAAAGATAACATTGTAAATCTGGCATTTCGCTCTGTGCGTAAAGGTCACTTGAAATTACGCTTACAGTCCCTTAAATTAGTCTCCAACCGATTTACCTTTTTATATATATATATATATGTTAGCTATATATATATAAATTAGTCTCCAACCGATTTACCTTTTTATATATATATATATATGTTAGCTATATATATATAAATTAGTCTCCAACCGATTTACCTTTTTATATATATATATATATGTTAGCTATATATATATAAATTAGTCTCCAACCGATTTACCTTTTTCATTATGAACCTCTAGCAAAATTCAATACATCTATTTTTTAGCCTAAGTTACCCTTACGGTACGCATGGGTTTTCTTAAAAAAAGTCAGCCAATTCGGTTTAGCCGTTTGGCGAGCTATAGCTAGCATATATATATATATATATATATGCTAGCTATAGCTAACATATATATATATATATATATGAGCGAAGAGCTTTATGGATGATGTCACAAAGATTTGGTAGTTCTGAATACAATTTTAGATAACTTCGCGTGTCCTTGGTGGTGGGGGGGGGGGTATTTTTCAAAATATTGACCCCTGCTTTCTAATAAATACAGGTTTACATAGACATTCTCTTTGTCCTGTTCAAAATGGATCCCTGTTTTTTTTCTAAGAAAAGAATTTCTTTCAATTACGTTAAATTACTGACTCTTCTAAATTCCTTTGAATGCTCAGAACCTAGAACTTAAAACTTCTAGAATTCTTATTTCTTCATTTATAGGAATATTATATTCCTAAAATAAAATCTCTTCGGTCGATTTCAAATTCTTAATAAAACTAAAATATACTTGCGGAAACTACTGTTCAAATATATTTAGGTCGTCGGTCATGTTATAAACTTTTTCTTCAATGTTGGAAATTAAATTTTTTTCTTTATGTTAACACTGTATTTTATTTTGTTTGCACTAAATCATCGTTGACTGTTTAGTTAGGTTCCAAAGATGCAATTTGATCAAATTCCACGAATTTCTACAAATTTTTTAAATTCTGTTTTTTAAAGGATGCTTGCGAAAATAAAACCGTAATTAAAATTAAGAATCTTATGGCGAAATTCTAATTTATATTTAATTAATTAAAAATAAGCTTCTCTCAAAAGATACTTTGAACAATTTCAGTGATGAAAATAGACGTAATAATTTAAAATATTATCATTGAATTCATTTTTTTCTTGTGTCTGAAGATTTTTCAAACATGCTCTTTAATTGTTAAACATTATATTTCAATTATAAAAGTTAGTAAATTTCTAAATTTTGCATAATTTGTATAGTTTTGTAAAGTTTTGTAACCCTGTTTATAAAGTTTACAGAAATGTCAAAAGAAAAACATTTAAACATCATGTAATTCTATTAATATTTTTATTAGTATTTTTATTATGATCATTATCATCATTTTTTAATATTATTATCAATACCATTATCGAAATTAATATCATTATCATTATATTATCATTGTCATTTTTATTGTCATTGTTTATATTATTATCACTATTGTTATTATTATTATCATCTTTATCATTTTCTTCAACAAATTTATTATCATTATCTTTATTGATTTAGTTATCGGTATTGTCATTTTTCTTGTTTATAGTTTTTTTTTTCAGGACAACGGAAGCAGAAGCAGAGGAAACTGTTTCCGAAAACTAAACCCGGCCAAAAATAACTCAGTGATAAATCTTGTTGTTTTGTAAACATGTAAACACTGTATGTACACAATAAACCCCTGTTAACCTATGTTTGCTGTACGGTCAGATTCAAATTTGACATCAAAATCTTGCAAACATAGTTCCAACAAGTTATTGAACTCAGTTTTCCGTGATTTCACTTCACAAGATCAACAAGAAATTGTCCTTAGTTTTCCGTGATTTCACTTCACAAGATCAACAAGATATTGTCCTTAGTTTTCCGTGATTCCACTTCACAAGATCAACAAGATATTGTCCTTAGTTTTCCGTGATTCCACTTCACAAGATCTACAAGATATTGTCCTCAGTTTTCCGTGATTTCTCTTCACAAGATCAACAAGAAATTGTCCTTAGTTTTCCGTGATTTCACTTCACAAGATCAACAAGAAATTGTCCTTAAATTTCACAAGATCAATAAGATATTGTCCTTAGTTTTCCGTGATTTCACTTTACAAGATCACAAGATCTTGTCCTTAGTTTTTCGTGATTTCACAATAAATAATATCGCCAAGATTAAGAAAATATTACATGCATAATGAGTCCCCCTCTGCCATACACCAGATCAAGCACCACGCCCTATCAGATACCCGCATCTTTCCTTGGGCGGGACCAGGGGGAGGATACCACACCCCCCTCTCCAACATCAGCACACAAGGTAAAACAATTTCCTTTAAAGGGACTGTAGAGGTAATTTTCAAGCAACCCTCCATTTTAAGCATAGCATGTACGAATTACAAAGGTACCCTTTCAATAATTCATCAAGGATGATTGATATATTAGATTTGATAATAACTCCAGTGTTTTCTAAAATTCAAAAAAGTTGGCGAAACGTGTTTTGGGACTCCTTTTTTCGGCGGTGGAGGTGGTATGATACTAATTTGTATTAAAATCTCATTTTCTCTTTAGTTTGATAAATTGTCATAAAATCATGTATTATAAACTTAATTGAAGCATTTAATGAATAAAATTTATATCTCTTATTTTTTTTAAAAATTTAATTTTTTGGCATAATTCATTTTTTTTATAAACCCCAGCCCATTCAAATAATGGATTTTTACGACGCTTTGAAGGGTTTGAAGGCAAGACTTAGTGCTGAAATAAACAAAACAAATGATCTGTAACATTTAAAGTTTTTTCTTCCAAAGTTTTTTTCTTTTTTTTAAAGATTTTATAAATTATGAATTCCTTGCAAGCGTGCAGATTCACCGATAATTCTTAAAATTGTTGCTGCTGCGCATTTTTTGCATAGCATTTTTGTTACCTCGATACTATTTGCAATTTTGCATGCATATCTTTATGTTTCTTGCATAGTTTCATTGCAACTGGATGGCTTCTTTACTAGATATGAAGCCAAGAAATTATTCAAATATCTCACTTTTGTTCAATTCAACATTTTCTAGAATTACAGACCACAGTTCAAATTTTTGAATAACAAATCTTAAAACGCTTTTTTAATCCTCACTTCCTTGCCGTAATAATCTTCCTTTTTGATCCCCTTTCTAATTTTAGTAAAAAAGCCTTTTTTACAATTAAAATTTATCCTTGATGATGGAATGTATTTCATTTTCCAATAATTGTACAATTCCTTTTCTAATACAAAATTACAATATATATTCCGATCACCAATATTTCATGTAAGTATTAGGTTAAATTTAAATCTTACATGTTTTAGAAAAGCAAAATATATTGACTTTGCTCGTGGAATACTAATCAAAACTAGAGAAGCTACGGGGTCTCATAAACTTGACCATTTTCTACTGTTCAGTAGAGTTTGCTAGTTATATCATATTTACCTATTTCCAACACATATTTCTTTACCAAAAATGCTAGAATAGAATGAGGCATGATCAACATCATTAAGAATTCCTCTACATATTTAATAGAATATGATAATATTAACTTGCTATACCTCTAAACAAGAAAATGTTTTTAGGAACTTAGTCTTAGCATTATTTTAAGTGTTCCTCCATGTTAAAACTAACCTGCCCGATTCAAAACAAAACCGTTTGGCTAAGATTTTTGGATATATCTTTGTTTTTCTAGCTGATAATTGATAGTTTTTCATTTCGGTTCCTCAAAAGTACTTGTAGTAGAGTCATAGAAGGTACTTGTCAGAATTTAAAACAGTTGGGATTGAGGAACGACAACACAGGTTTAATGGGTACTGTTGTGATTCAGGCATGTAACTTGTTCAATGGAGGTCACTTGAAATACGTGAACAGTCCCTTTATATTATTTTTTTTTACAGTTGAGCATCTGCTTGATCCCTGAGATCTCTCAATCCCAAAACACTTTCGAGGTCAGCATCAAGCGGAACTCCCTTGGTCTCGGATTCAGGTAGGGTGTACTCCAGGGTTCTATTCTATCCCCTTTTTTATCTAAAAAATGTCATCAACGATGCTCACTGTCAGGTCAGTAGTATCTCTTCTGAAATTAAAAACAAAGAAAAAATAAATGAAAAGAATATGTAAATGTAACATGTTATTTCTTAAATGCCTCACGCATTTTTAATGTTTTTAAAATTTAAATACAAAACAAATCACTAGAAATTTTTTGTTTTGTCAATGTGATGATTTATAAAAAATATGTATCTTTTATAAGTATAACTGGAGGACTAGATGCACCCTCCCCCTGGACAAATTTAATCAGAATAAAGAAAATATTTCCGCTTCAACCAGCCTGGGAAACCGGTCAACTTAAGGTACATGACAATTAGAAAATATCAACAAAAAGTAGTTGAACTATGTAGGTAAACCACTTTTCCTGTACATCTGGTACAAATTGAAGATATAAGTGGTTCAACTACGTCCAATTAGTTCATCGCTGTTTATTAAATTTAGTCCATAAACAACTTAACATTGTTGACTAAAATTAAATAACGTTTTTTATTTTCTAGCTTACTACATAGGAGGTAAAGGAAACATTTAGAGTCGTAAAAACCCATAGCTTTTTATTTTCTATTGACTGTTCTTTTGTGAATTGTACAAAAAGAGTATGCCTATTGCATGTTGCATGTTTGTATCTGTTAACATTTAAGAATTAGTTAAACTTGCCCTTGACTGATTAAGCAACTTGTTTAATCTCGTCGGATTTAGACTAGTAGTGTAACCAGTCTAGCTAGTTCAATTACTTCTCCATGGTTCATCAATTCCCGATCCCAGTTCAACTACCATATATTGCACTGTGATTTAAAGGTTGCGAGCTCTGTAGCAAATTTCGATGAGAATTTTCCCAATTACTTCTTTAAAACTGCTAACAACAAGTGCTGTATAGCGCTTAAATGTACATGTAAAGTGCTACAGAAAAGCAGAAGTGAGTTTGAGCGGTAAAATCTAAGCCCAAGGCGTTGCAACATTTCAAAGTCGACCCTGTATTTAAAATTGATGAGACTTTTTATAAGCAGGCTTAATCTATGGGATTGCCGGTCACTCCCTTTTTTAAGTTCATTGACATTTTATTGTCTGATAGCAAAGTTATTGCTAATCATTTTGTTATTTTATTCCTAAGAATTCTTTGACTTAGGGTCTGGGTATTTATTTTCTCTAATTATTTTTCACCCCTTCCACCTCAATAAATTGGGGTTTTTTTTTGAGGGGGGGCTTGCTATGGGCAATTAGTGAGGAATTCAACTTTTGAAAAGATGTTTGAATTTCCCTAACAAGCAAAATTGGCAACATTCACAGTAAAAATGAATATTTTACCGATACTAAAATTAATACCCAAACATATTTGCAGTCAAAGCAAATTCCTCAAATGATCAGGAGGGGAAATAAAAAAAACTCTCTAACACTGTTCTTCAGGTATAGAACATATCCACCTAACACTGTTCTTCAGGTATAGAACATATCCACCTAACACTGTTCTTCAGATATAGAACATATCCACCTAACACTGTTCTTCAGGTATAGAACATATCTACCTAACATTGTTCTTCAGGTATAGAACATATACACCTAACATAGTTCTTCAGGTATAGAACTTCTCCACCTAACACTGTTCTTCAGGTATAGAACAAATCTACCTAACACTGTTCTTCAGATATTGAACATATACACCTAACACAGTTCTTCAGATAGAGAACATCTCCATCTAACACAGTCTTTATGTACAACAATAACCATGTACAAAAGCAAAGATTTATTTGTTTAAAGTGTAGAGAACACCTTGCAAAAAGATGCAGAATAAATGCTTTCTTTGGATGGAATACCGAATGAGTAAGTGATTTTCAGGATGGTCAGTGTTACACTTAAAATTGTATTCAATGTTTCAAGATTCAAGCCGGCGCTCGATTGAAACCGATTTTTGACGGATTTGAGACGTGGCTCAAAATCATTAAATTCGGACTCTATATTTATATATTTCCAGGTGTGCAGAATACCTGATTCTATATCAGCAAACCAAAGATCCTGCCCAACATATTCCAAGGTATACTACATATACTTAATGAAGTAGATACACATGGGTTTCCTTTTATAAAGAAATCAACCAATTTGGTCCAACCCTTTGGCCAGCTTATGTAGGCTAGCTAACATATATAAAAATATATATACAAATAATAAAAAAATGATTGTGGTAGACCCCCAATGTGGGATCCCTAGACCGCCAATCGGAGGTTAAGAGTCCGTGCCCAAAACCTTTTCACCTGGCACCCTGATATCCTTACCCCTTTGCCAGGGAAATTCAAATCAAAGTGCAGTACTACTGGAAGCTGGCTAGTCACTCAACCTGGTGACGATTGAGTATCCTTCAATCAAGGGAGGTATCAGCAGAAGCTAGTGAAGACATGCGTCTCTTCATGTCAAGGACGTTAGTCACAGCCATATCCTGTAAGATTCTCTTGAGCAACCTCATGGGGCCATTGAACAGATGGCTCCCCACAACTATTTTAAGGACTTCTATTTGGACAGCCCACTTGTCAAGCGAAGACCTCATTACAGCATAAATAATGATTTGAGAATTTGGTCCTTCTCTTTGTTCTGTATCTCCCAGACGTAACTTTCTAGCTTACTGACCCTATGCTTCATTGCCATTAGCCCTACATCTAAGGCTCTTGCTACCTTCACTGAGGACTTTGGGATTAGGATATACCTGGCAACTATGTGCTGAATCCTGTCCAGCTTCTCCAGTACTCTGTTTGAGAGCATGATGGCCTCTGTAGCATACAAGATTGCAGGTACTGCACATCTCTTCCATAAGGTGTAAGCTGCTACTGCTTGATCTAATCCATTTCTAGATAGACCAAAAATGACATTAGTATAGTTTTGAGCAACTGACACCAGGCCTGGACCATCAGTATCCACCGTTCATGTTGTCTGACCTGGACTATTGGTAAGGAAAACCATCTTCTCTACTGCAAGCTTGATGCCTGAGCAGAACCGGTTGTCTGTTCGTAGCATCTTCTCTATCCCGCTTCTCCTTGTACGTGAGATCAAGACCAAGACGTCAGCAAAAAATGTGGGATAATCTGGACTAAATTAATCCCATCCTTCATATCATGAAGTACATTACCTAAAATTGATCACGTAGTCCAGGACTCGTCAGCTTACTCCAGGACTCATCAGCTTACTCCAGGACTCATCAGCTTACTCCAGGACTCATCAGCTTACTCCAGGACTCGTCAGCTTACTCCAGGACTCATCAACTTACTCCAGGACTCATCATTTACTCCAGGACTCATCAGCTTACTCCAGGACTCTTCATCTTAATCCAGGGCTCATCAGCTTACTCCAGGACTCATCAGCTTACTCCAGTACTCATCACGTACTTCAATACTCATCACGTAGTCCAGGACTCCAGCTTACTCCAGGACTCATCAGCTTACTCCAGTACTCATCAGCTTACTCCAGGAGTCATCAGCTTACTCCAGGACTCTTCATCTTAATCCAGGACTTCTCAGCTTACTCCAGGACTCATCAGCTTACTCCAGTACTCATCACGTACTTCAATACTCATCACGTAGTCCAGGACTCCAGCTTACTCCAGGACTCATCAGCTTACTCCAGGACTCATCACGTACTCCAGTACTCATCACTTAGTCCAGGACTCCAGCTTACTCCAGGACTCATCAGCTTACTCCAGGACTCATCAGCTTACTCCAGGACTCGTCATCTTAATCCAGGGCTCATCAGCTTACTCCAGGACTCATCACGTACTCCAGTACTCATCACTTAGTCCAGGACTCCAGCTTACTCCAGGACTCATCAGCTTACTCCAGAACTCATCAGCTTACTCCAGGAGTCATCAGCTTACTCCGAGACTCTTCAGCTTACTCCAGAACTCATCACATACTCTAGTACTCATCACATAGTCCAGGACTCTTTAGCTTACTCCAGGACTCATCAGCTTACTCCAGAACTCATCAGCTTACTCCAGATTTCATCAGCTTATTCCAGAACTCATAAGCTACTCCAGGAGTCATCAGCTTATTCCAGAAATCATCAGCTTACTCCAGGAGTCATCAGCTTACTCCAGGACTCATCAGCTTACTCCAGGATTTATCCTTACTCTATAGGATACATCCTTGCTCCAGGATTCATCTTTACTCCAGGATCCCTCCAATGGCCCCAAAACAAAATCCCAGAAACTTTTTTTCTCTCAAAATCTTAAGTACAGAAAAGCAAAAATTTGTATATATGCTATTTCTATCAAATTCAACATTTTGTAAATATTGATGAACAGAATCACAGAAAATTTGCAAAATTGTTAAAAGAAAATTCACAATTTTCTTTACAATTTTCAGTTCTGAGCTGAAAACTTTAGAATGGGATATTCTTAATCCCGATCGTTTAATTAATCTGGAGATTAATAACAAGAGGAGAACAAGCATTATTTAATCTCGAGATTAAGAAAAAGAGTGGATCAAGCATTAATCCCGATATCCACCATTCAAAAGTTTCCAGCTCTGGTCTAATTTTGAATCCATATGTTAACTTTCTTATTAATTAGGTTGGTGATGTAATTCTGAAGGTATCTGGAGTCCCCCTCACATCTTTATCCTTACGACAAGCACTGGATATTCTTAGAACTTCTCCACCTAACACTGTTCTTCAGGTATAGAACATATCCACCTTTAAACACTGTTCTTCAGGTATAGAACACATCCACCTAACACTGTTCTTCAGGTATAGAACATATCCACCTAACACTGTTCTTCAGATATAGAACATATCCACCTAACACTGTTCTTCAGGTATAGAACATATCTACCTAACATTGTTCTTCAGGTATAGAACATATACACCTAACATAGTTCTTCAGGTATAGAACTTCTCCACCTAACACTGTTCTTCAGGTATAGAACAAATCTACCTAACACTGTTCTTCAGATATTGAACATATACACCTAACACAGTTCTTCAGATAGAGAACATCTCCATCTAACACAGTCTTTATGTACAACAATAACCATGTACAAAAGCAAAGATTTATTTGTTTAAAGTGTAGAGAACACCTTGCAAAAAGATGCAGAATAAATGCTTTCTTTGGATGGAATACCGAATGAGTAAGTGATTTTCAGGATGGTCAGTGTTACACTTAAAATTGTATTCAATGTTTCAAGATTCAAGCCGGCGCTCGATTGAAACCGATTTTTGACGGATTTGAGACGTGGCTCAAAATCATTAAATTCGGACTCTATATTTATATATTTCCAGGTGTGCAGAATACCTGATTCTATATCAGCAAACCAAAGATCCTGCCCAACATATTCCAAGGTATACTACATATACAGTACACTAGCTGTACACAGTACACTAGCTGTACACAGTACACATTACTCTGTACACAGTACACATTACTCTGTACACAGTACACATACTCAGTACACAGTACACAGTACACGTAACACAGTATACAGAGCCGGAAATTAAAGAAAGTAACCTGAGATTTTGGGGAGTTTTATTGATATTTTTTCGGAAAAGATCTGTCTTTTAAATTTCTGGCTCTTTACACATTATGTGATAGCATTGTACTGAAAATTGATTTTTATGTGTGTTTGTTGTGTAAAATTAGGTTACTCGTTAAATCTCCTTCTCCAACCCCCAATCACAAAGAGAGTATGAAAACTAGGACATCTAAAGGGGCAGGGTTTTTATCTTGTTTTATTTAGTTTCTCCAATTCAGCGAATAAAACCCACAAAAATATTTTTACCCAAAAAATCCAACATTTTTTTTTATATTTTATGAAAGTTAAGAAATAAACACCCTTTTGCTTTAATATAGCAATGTTCTGAAACTAAACTGTTGAATGTGAGTATGTATGATATTGATAGAGCAGTAAATTGTATTTTATGCTAGTTTTCTCTTCACGCACCTTTGCCCCTTTAGTAAAAGTAAATTCAACCTATATGAAGCATAAAGTCAGACCGCGTCAACCTTGTTGCACCGGCTATTCCTACCCATAGAGCTAGGTACAACAAACTGTTGACCCTGCTCGGAAATTCAAATGTACTACGGCTGCTTGTGTCTTAAAGGTTGAACTAGAGTGAAATTTTTGTTCTCGAATTATTGCATAATTTACGAGACGAATTTTTAATATTATATCTATATATAAATTTGGCTTGTCTGTTTGTTTGTATCCAATAAACGTCAAAACGGCTGAACCGATCGGGCCCAAATTTGTTGTGGGACCTCACGTGACCCCAGGGAAGGTTTATGAATGATCAAAATTCTAAAATTTTGTGTTTAAAAGTTTTATTTTTGAAAAATTTTGAAAATGCGCAAAAAAATATTATGAAATCCGCAAACCTTTTTTGTTTTTGTTTTATACTGTACAAAGAGAAGATGTTCAGAGATAAAGCCACAATTAAAAGTTGAAATAGAAGATGGGCGCGAAGCGCCCTAAAAGCCTAGTATATATATATATGTAAAGATTTATTCACACACAAAGATAAATTGTGTAATTTAAATTTGTTTAAATAAATACAGCTTTTCAGAAGAAAAGAGAAAAATTTGCAAAATTATGCACAAATAGACAACATTGATCATTACTCAAATATATAACATATTTATCATTTCAGTTATTACGTAATCATCGAATCCTTCAACATATAAATTATTCGTTCTTGTACTTAAAAGTTCTTATAAAACCGGAACTTTCCATGCATGGGCATCAAAATATTTTCCTTGTTAACATTGTGAAATACTATTATAGAGGACTAGCGTAGTAAGATCGTATTCCTATGGACCATACAATCACAACACTTGGGATACTTTTAAACAGGCAACAGACCAGGTAAACATGGGATTGTAACAATTACATGCATTTTATGTTCCTTAATTTAACTAGTTCCATTTCAATTCATAGAGTTTTTCTAATATATTCATATATTCTTATAATTAACATTTGTTTTTATCATACGTTTTTTCTTAAAGGGTTTTTCTAATATATTCATATATTCTTATAATTAACATTTGTTTTCATCATACGTTGTTTCTTAAAGGGTTGCAAAATGGGATACAGGGCGTTTCTGCGTTCTTTTGTATTTTTGTAAGATTAGTAATTATTTTGAAAAATTTTTGTAAATGTAAATGTATTTTCTATCTTGTTTTGTGTGGATTTTTATCTCAAAAAGATACTCTTTAAAGAAGAAAATGTTTCTAAGTTTTAAGTTTTATTTAGAAAAATATTATGAAAAAATGTTATCAGGGTTTTGGATACTTGAAGGATTATTCCAGCAGTCGTCCTTCTCTCACTAGTGCAGGTTTATTTCATGTTATTCATCTTTTCATTTTTTTTATTTGCCACACTCGGATTCCATGCCTCTAATTTCAAAATTAATTTTGCTCTTTTATGTTTCTATATCGGCATCTATTTTCTTGTATAAATGTTAAGAAAAATTTAAATGCAAAATTCCCAATATTATTCTGCCTTTAATGCTGGGTTTCCGCAAATTTTGACAAGCCATAAAACATTCTGGCTTAAGTGTTATCACAAGAAATTTAGGCTTAACTGGTTCAGCCGTTTTAACGTTCGATGGAGACAAACAGACAAGAATATTCAAGTTTACCCCCTGAAATTCTGCTACAGAAATTTTTTTTCCCGAAATCCTAATCCAGAAATGGTTTCCCCTGAAATCCTACTCTAGAAATTTTACCCCTAAATTCCTAATCTAGAAATATTTACTTCTGAACTCCTTCTCTAGGAATGCTCCCCCCTGAAATCTGTCTCTAGAATTGTTCAGCTCTAAAATGTTTTATTCAGGAGACTCAATGGAGATAGAGATATCCCCAGCAACACCTGAAAAGGAGTGGAGTCCTGGACCTGAGGTTAATTCAGATTTTTTTCTCCAAACGTCTAGTTTTCATTATAAAACTACTAAAGATTTTTGATAATGATGAAAGTGGTGAAAATGATGATACTACACAAACTACTCTAGATTATTGATGATAACGATGATGATACTATATCAATTACTCTAGATGTTTGATGATGATGATGATGATGATACTATGCAAATACTTTAGATTATTGATGATAATGATTATGATACTTTGCAACTACTCTAGATTATTTATGATGATGATAATGATGATACTATGCAACTACTCCGTCCTGTAGAGAACGCCCTTCTAAATAACTCAAGAATAGTTGGAGAATTTTCTATTCAATTAACCAAGGTAATGAATGTAAAATAACGGAACTTTTGTGTGAAGTATTGGTTAAACTTAGACGCTTGATCTTGATATCCTATGTGGGCAATTTTAAATTTGAGGATAAATGCGTAATCTTTATCATTTAGTTATCTCTGAAGGGTACAACCAACACTGGACATCGCATAGGAATGTAATGAAAAGGTGTGATGGATATCCAATAGCCATGCTTGTTCCCGAGATTTATGACACAAAAGTTCTGGTTTCAGTTCAGAATATTTATTTAAAAAACATCAAAATAATATCTTTTTGCAAAGGTAAACGGAAGTTTGGGGTTCAGCCTCCAATCTATAGATGATACAGTGCTAAAGCATTCTATTAAGGTATATTTTATTCTATCAATTATGTACTTAAATTCCAACATTTTCACATACCTTACTTACTTACCTACCTTCTAACTAATTTACCTACCGACACACTAACCATAACATATTGTACTAATACTTGGTACTTATCTAACTACCAACCCTATACCTGATAAACTAGCAACCTCCCTACCTGAGCATCTAAATAGCCAGTAACCTACCTGCCTATCTATCTTTCTACCTACTTGCCTATTTTATCTACCTACCTAATACCTACCTACCTACCTACCTACAACTACCTACAACTATCTACCTGCCTACCTACCCACCTACCTACCTAATTAATTACCTACCTACCTACCTATCTATCAACTAGGGCATAGTACGGGATCCAGCTCTAAGTGATGGAAGACTTAAAGCTGGAGACAAACTTCTAACTGCTAATGGAGTAGATCTATCTACATTTACTCATCAGGTGAAAATACAGGGTAGATAAATTGAAGGGGGGGGGGGCTAAAATT